CACAGAGAAACCCTCCCGCCCCCCACAAACCAAACAACAACAACAACAACAACCCACTTGCTCTGTAAACTAGGCTGGCATTGAACTTGCCTCGAACAAGATTCACCTGCCTCTGCCTCCTGAGTTCTGGGATTAATGGTGTGTGCTACTACTGCCTGGCTATACTAGATAGTTTGTTTTTTTTTTTTTTTAAAAAAAAAAAAGATTTGTTCTGTATACAGTGTTCTGCCTGCATGTATCCCTGCAGGCCAGAAGAGGGCACCAGATCTCATTACTGATGGTTGTGAGCCACCACGTGATTGCTGGGAATTGAACTCAGGACCTCTGGACGATCAGCCAGTGCTCTTAACCTCTGAGCCATCTCGCTAGCCTATTTCTTTTTATCAAATGTCTCCTAAATCTATTCTGCCTTCATCTTTGTGCCAACTTTAAAAAGGAAATTAATGGTATTCAGCTGCTACAGGAAGCAACCAGTACACTCAGAGGTTAACAAGAGACCTTAAGTAAAGGGATTGTTTACAGTTGTGTGAATGACCCTGTAATGGATAGTAGAGCACCAAGAGACTGTCAGGACTGACTGTACCTAGTCATGCTCCTATCCCAGATACAGTGGAGGAAAAGTGGGTGTGACTGGAACAGGATCCTCAGTTGAAGAACATAAATCCTGCTAGAACCATATCTTTGAAAAAGAGAGATCACGGGATAAGTGCCTTGACTTTCCGGCTCTCGGGTTTCTTCTAGTGACGCAGACGGCAGCCAGAAGACCTGGAATCTTGCTCCTTAGAGATTGGCCTTCTGGATCCTGAGGCAGGAGGCCTGAACATAACATCTGCCAGAGCCCATCCTTAGACTACCACTTAGTGCTGCCAGCTCTGGCTCCTGCCTACCTTTCTGACTTGTCATCTCCTGATTAGGGTTTTCATGTTTTTATACCCCACAACCCCTATTAAACTTTCCATTAAGATGCAGTACATAGGGGACTGGAGAGATGGCTCAATGGTTAAGAGCACTGACTACTCTTCCAGAGGATCCAGGTTCAATTCCCAGCACCCACAATTGTCTGTAACTGGCAAAACACCAACACACATAAAATAAAATTAAGAAACAAAAGATGTGAAACGTGAACAGATTGCATTGTCTGAGTGGTAGATCTGAGGCAGGCAAGCTTGACAGCAGGAGGAGCTGGTCTGGCTCTCACCGGTCACTAAGGATAGAGTCGGGCTGCTTTAAGGCCACACGTGTCTGACAGTAGCTTCCAGAGTCTCAGGAGAGCCAAGTAGCCTGGGGCGGTTTCCACAAGTCTACTGCTCACAGCCCGCTATGAAAAAGTCTGTTTTCCCAGCTTTAAGACAAGATTATGTGGACTTAAAGACAGGCTAATACTGCCTGATCGGGTGTCCGTGCAGTCAGCTCAAGGTTACCTTTGCTGTCCTGCAGAGCTGTTGGTTTGATTTGTGTGTGGAGGGTGTGGTGCCCACATATGGGCACGTGACTTTGGGAGCCAGAGAAAGATGCCAGATGACCTCCTCTATTACTCTGTACCTTATTCCAGTGAGACAAGGTCTCTCACTGAACCAGAAGCTTACCATTCTGGCTAGACTGATGGCCCGCAAGCTCTTGGGAACCACCTGTTTCTGTCCCAACTGCTGGGGTTGTAGGCTCACAAAGTCATACTTGACTTTGAACATAGGTGTTGGAATTTGAATTCATGTCTTCATGTTCACATTGCAAGCACTTGTACCCCGAGCTGTCTCTATAGTCCCTACTATTTATTTACTTGTTTATTTATTTTGCTGCTTCTGAATATTAGATATAACTATTTATTGGTTCTTTGAAAATGAAATTTTGGGCCAGTGAGATGACTCAGTGGGCACAGGCACTCCCTGCACTAGTGTGATGACCTCAGTTTGGTCCCCAGAACGCATGGTGGAGACAACTAACTCTCAGTGATTCTCTGACCTCTGCATGTATGCCCGACTTAGTTACAGCATTTTCAAACATACACACACACACACACACACATCATTGTACTTTGCTCATGTCTTATCTCTCTTCCACACAGAGACTGTAAGTCCAAAGATACATAATCCTTTTAAAAAGCTGAGCCTTCTGTGATTACACGTGTAATCACAGCTCTGGGAAGCTGAGACTTTGCTGTGAGTTTGAGGTTACACAGTAACTATAGGCTATAGTATGAAACATGTCTCAAAAACCCAGAGTGGAGAGAAAGAAAGTGACCAGTTCCTTGGCCACCCATGTGAAGGCCACCTTGCTGGTAAGAGGCAGAGTCAGATTTGAATCCCTGCCTCCGATCACCTAGTACTTGCACTCTGCATTCCTGACAAGATGTGGTGATTGGAACGCACAGGAACTTGATGAGGCTGGATTTGTCTAGATCTTCAGAGGCATGGGAAAGGCATATGCAATGATTTTAAGATAAAGAGTAAGACATTTAGGGGCAAGAAAGAGTAGCCACCAAAATAACCCAGGAAACTAGCTGTTTCTGCTTGAGCAGGATATACTCAGTCATCCAGCTTGCTTAGTTTCACACCATTTAGCTTCCTCAGAGGCCCCTCTGTGGGTGTTAATGAAATTGACCTCACTTAAGTCAGTGATAGTAAAACAGGTTATAAAAAAAAATCTAATTTGTTATTTTATACCACCAATGCTTAAGAATGTGTGTGTTTATATCCATATCCATGGGTTTTTTTTTTGCAAATCACACACCTGTGCATGTTTTTTTGGGGGGGTTGTTTTGGGGTTTTTTGGGTTTTGTTTTTGTTTTTGTTTTGTTTGTTTTTTTGAGACAGCGTCTCTCTGTGTAACTTCAGAGCCTGTCCTGGAACAAGCCCTATAGACCAGGCTGGCCTCGAACTCACAAAAATCCACCTGTCTCTGCCTCTTGAGTGCTGGGATTAAAGGCATGTGCCACCGCCACTGCTGGTGAATGACTTTTAATCCCAACACTTGGGAGGCAGAAGCTAATGGATCTCTGATATAGCCAGCCTAGTCTATAAATAGAGTTCCAGGACAGCCAGGGCTATACAGAAAAAACCCGTTTTAAAAAATAAATATTGATATGTGTGTGCATATGCAGCCTATATGACTAGAGTAGTTAGGAGCGCAGTGTGAAATAGGAAGAGTTAGGTTGTCCTGGGCATAATTTTAGAGAGAATATGGACATCCCTGGCTTTTTTTTTTTCTAATTTTTATATGCATTGGTGTTTGAGGGAGTCAGATCTACTGGAACTTGAGTAACAAACAGTTGTGAGCTGCCATGTGGGTGCTGGGAATTGATCCCGGGTCCTCTGGAAGACCAGCTAGTGCTCTTAACCACTGAGCCATTTCTGCAGTCTCTATCCCTGGCTTTTAATAATCAGTGGTCTGCAGAGCCAGGCATAGTGGCTCAGACCTGAAGTCCCAGCATGAAAGCAAAGATAGGTATATCTCTGTACATTTGAGGGTAGCCTGATCTACGTATTGAATTTCAGGCACACAGGCCTTCATAGTAAGACCCTGTGTTTAAAGTAAATAAATAAGGTAAGAAAATTCCAATGGTAGTGTACAGGGGCCAGCCAGGCTCCACATCCATAGTGGACACAAAAGATTGCATAAACCAGAGCTGAGAATGTGCTTCATTTGGTAGAAAGCTTTGTCTGGCACACATGAAGCCCTAGGTTCATTCCCTGGCACCTAAAACCAGGTGTGGTTCATAGGTTGAGGCTACCCTAGGATGCACAAGACCCTGTTTATAAATAAGTAAATAAACAAATGTTCTAATGACATACACACAAACAAAACAAAAAATCCTGGAGGCGCTGCAGTTGCTGACTGCCTGCATGCTTGTTTCAGTGGTCCTCAAAGGCACAGATGTACTGTCCCCAGTACAGGATGATGCAGGGTACCTTGTGAACCAGATACCCCCTCCCCCAGTGAGCGTGTGGGAGTGCCTTTCAAGCAGTCGAGGGCCCTGTGCCACATGGTTTTAGTGCCCAGTGTTATTTATCTAATCTGTCATTTTTATTAGCTACCCTTGTTTTTCAGTCTCTTTGTTTTACTTTTGGTGTTTTGGTTTGTTTGTTTTGTTTTGAGACAGGGTCTCTGTATAGCCCTGGGTGTCCTGGAACTCTGTATGTAGACCAGGCTGGACTCAAACTCAGAGATCTACCTACCTCTGCTTCCTGAGTACTGGGATTAAAAGAGTGTGTCACCATGTTTGACTTCCTTTTTTCTTCCTGATTTTTTTCAGTCTTTTTTGACTGCCCTCGCATGCACCACGCGCCTGCCTGAGGCTCCAGGTGCTTGTCTTCATAGTGCTGCAGCTGCAGCTGCTGCTTTTTATTTCCCACTTTTTCCAACTGTGGTATCGTGAAACCACTAAATGTTTGCAGCGAGGAAGAACTTTAAGGGCTGGAGAAATAACTGAGTGCTTAAGAGTATCACTGCTCTTGCGGAGGACCTGGGTTCTGTTCCCAGCATCTGTGCAATGCACCGACGTCAGGTACACACACACACACCACACACACACATCAAGTAAATACTTTTTAAGAGAGGAAATTTAAGATCAGTCCTTTTTTGTGATTGAAGCTTTGAAGGCTAAATTACTTGCCCAGATTTGACCCCCTACTTATCATTTTTTTTCTTGGTTTTTGAGACAGGGTTTCTCTGTAGCTTTGGAGCCTGTCCTGGAACTAGCTCTTGTAGACCAGGCTGGCCTCGAACTCACAGAGATCTGCTTGCCTCTGCCTCCTGAGTGCTGGAATGAAAGGTGTACACCACCACCACCCGGCTTGTTTGTTTTGTTTTGTTTTCTCTGTGTCTTAACAGGTGACTGTGTGGTATCAGTGTTTAAGGGACAAAACCGTTCAGCTTTTTATTTTGGAAAAATACTTCATCTGTTCTTTGGGGTCAGAAAACTTAATTGCTTTCAAATTATCCAAAAATGTAGGTCCCACTGAGTATGATCTCCCCCACTAATGAGTTGTTTCTTACTGTTTTAGGAACCATGTTTGACCGGGACTATGGGAAAGTTAGCTCCATCCTGGAGACCCTTGTAAGGAGATGAGTCACTGAGCAGAGGCCAGAATGAAGTTGCTGCCAGGAGTGGGCGTGTTTGGGACTGGCAGCTCAGCCCGGGTCCTAGTACCACTGCTGAGGGCAGAGGGGTTCACCGTGGAGGCCCTGTGGGGGAAGACTGAGGAGGAAGCAAAGCAGCTGGCTGAGGAGATGAACATCACTTTCTACACCAGCCGGACCGATGACGTCTTGCTGCATCAAGATGTAGACCTGGTGTGCATCAACATCCCACCTCCGCTCACCCGGCAGATATCCGTGAAGGCCCTAGGTATGTACCTTCAGACCGCAGCAGGCAGAATGTGTTTCCCTCTGGGCGGTCCTCCACAGCTCACTGCCCTCTCACAGGCCTGGGCATTCCTTCTTCTTCTGCGTCTGCTCTCAAGAGGAAAGAATAGTTCGACCTTCTGTACCCCCTGTTCACTAGTAACCCTCAGAGCCAACACTCAGCCCGTCAAGGAGCTAGAGATGTGCGGGTGTTGACTCTCAGGTCTGCCTCTGGGCCTGCGGATCAGCTGTGACCGCTGTGTGTGCTCTGCCACTGTGTAGCACAGGGCCCCACAGGAAGGAGCGGAGGCTGTCTAGAAGACTGCCGGTTCCCTGCTTTGTCAGCCCTTGACTGTAGTGAGCATCACCCTTCCTGGCAAGCTGCAATCTCATACTGCCAGACAGCAGGAAGGCCGTCTGTCAGCCCTGGCTTTCCCTACACCAGCCACGGGGCAGCTCGCTTACGTTTCCACTCCCTTGGGAAACTGGGCTTGGGGACCTCTGACCCTGGCTGGGTGTGGCCCCGTCAACTGATCTTCAGTTCCTAGTGAATTCTACCTGATTGTGAACTACGGACAGATTTTTCTTTCATCATACATATCTTGAGACAAGAGTTTACCTATGTAGTCCAGGCTGTCCCCCAACTCACAATCCTGCCTCACCCTTCTGAGTGCTGGGTGTGTGTGTGTGTATGCACACATGTGCACAATTACTCCTGGCTTCTTTTCTTTCTGTTATTGGATCTCTCTTGCTCTTTTTCTTTATGTTTTTTAAATTAAGGTTCCAAGCTTTATAACCGCAGTCTGTTTAGAGTTGGCAGAAGACAAGAGAGTCCTTAGAAGATGTCGGAATAGTCTAATTTTAACTGAGCTCCCTTCGACCTGGAGCATATACGAGGTTTTCCCTCTCTGGGGTTGGCAGCTTCCTAGGTGGTTCTGATGCATGCTGTAGGTGAAGGGTCACAGACCCATAGCAATGTCTTTGTTGTCGCATAAAGGATATGGTTCAGGGTCTGGAGAGATGGCTTAGCAGTTAAGAGCACTGGCTGCTCTTCCAGAGGTCCTGAGTTCAATTCCCAGCACTCACATAAATCTGAATGAGGCTCACTGGGACTTGGAGGTGTGGCTTGTAGGTAGAGCTAGGGTGCAGAGACTTTGGGTTCAATACCCAGTACCCTAAACAAAAGAAAAAGAAAGGCAACGGAGGCCTCCTGTTGTTTCCCACTGCTCAGCCCCGAAATAATCACAGAAACTGTATTAATTAAATCAATGCTTGGCCCATTAGCTCTGGCTTCTTATTGGCTGACTCTTACATCTTAATTTAACCCACTCCTATTAATCTGTGTATCGCCACATGGCTGTGACTTACCAGGTAAAGTTCTGTCTGTCTCTGGTGGGGCTACATGGCTTCTCCTCACTCTGCCTCCTTTCTCCCAGCATTCAGTTTAGTTTCTCCCCCACCCTCAGCCTACCTAAGTTCTGCCCTATCAACAGGTCAAGGCAGTTTCTTTATTCACTAATGGTATTCACAGCACACCGAGGGGAATCCCACATCAGCCCAGGAATGTTACTTGGGTATTTTCTAAGTCTTGGGCTATAGGTAAAATTGTTTTTCCTTCTCATTAGAGTATTTTTATTTTTATTTTGTGTTGTGGTGTCCTTGTGTACACACTGTGTGTAGGAATGCATGTCCTTTTCATGCCACACATAGAGGCTAGAACTTGATACTGGGTAATTTCATTTATAATTTGCAGGGCTGGGGGGTACATGTGACTGTGGGTGCCCGGGGAGGAAGCCTGTCAGATCTTCCTGGAGCTGGAGTTACAGGCAGTTATGAGCGGCCCACGCGAGTGCTGGGAATTGGACTTGGAGCTCTCTCTCCAGCACTATCTAGTTTATTTTTTGAGACACTGAACCAGGAGTTCTCCATCTCCACTAGGCTGGCCAGCCAGGAAGTCCCTGGGGTACATCTGTCTGTGTCCACCCCTGCATCCTCATCCTCAGTTATTTGTTCTTACCACATGCCCGGTTTTCTCATGGCTGCCGGGAACCCACTCAGGCCCTCGTGTGTGCGACAGCACCTTACCCACCAGCTGGCTCCCCAACCAAGTTATGAAAAAGGACAAGGAACGATTTGTTTTCTGGTTCTAATGCTGCTAAGGATTTTTTCATATTTGGCGATTAATAAGTGCACAAAAACATATTCCATACTGAAAGTATAAAACCCAATGTGAAGCTCCACAGCTTCAGAATATATAGAAATTCACTGAGATGTGTAGACTTGGGGTCTGGTTACTTTTGGTGTGTTTGTGTTGTTTAAAAGAGCTTTTATTGTTTTTAAGGAATAAAGTTTACAAAACTAATTAAGATTAGATAAATACATGTATGTCTATGTATATCTTATACACTCATTAAATTTATTAATTCTTTTCTCATAACAAAAGATCACTCTCTAAGCACACTGACCCAGATAATTTAATTTCAAGAACTCCAGTTCTGGGCTGGAGAAATGGCTCAGTGGTTAAGAGCACTGGCTGCTCTTCCAGAGGTCCTGAGTTCAATTCCCAGGACCCACAAGTCCAGGACCTAGGACTCACAACCATCTGTAATGAGATCTTGCGCTCTCTTCTGGCCTGCAGGCAGACATGCAGGCAGAACACTGTATACATAATAAATAACTAAATCTTTAAAAATAAAAAGAACTCCAGTTCCTTATGAAGCCTCTTAGCCCAGGCCAGACCAGATTCCTGCTATGCAGTCTACATTTTTACCGTGTGGTCATATGAGCCCCTAAAGTGTTCCCCAGTTTTTGACCCAGGACCTGGCATACTGGGTAAATATGACGCTTACAGTTCCCGTCCATGTGGTCTATCTTGCTGGTGGCCAGAGCGCTAACAATGGACCTGTGGCCAGGAAAGAATGGAGATGGGCTGTAGGCAAGAGTGAGAGCCTGCTCTGCTGGTTTGCACACTCGTATTTCTAGTATCTGGGCTGGGTATGGTGGCACCGCACCCACCTTTAATTCCAGCGACCAGAAGTCAGAGACTGGCAGATCTCTGTAGCCAGCCTGGTCTACATAGTGAGTTCCATGACAGCCTGGACTACATAGAAAAACCTTGTCTTAAACACACACACACACACACACACACACATACACACACACACACACACACACACACAAAATGACTAGAGAGATGGCTCAGTGGTTGAGAATACTGGTTCTCTGCAAGAGAAGCAAGTGCTCTTAACCACTACGTCATCTCTCCAGCTCTATAAAACCTTTTCAGTTAAAAAAAGAAAGTGGGTTGGGCGGGGGGAGTGGGAGGCTGGAGAGACGTCTCATTGGTTAAGAGCACCAGTCTCTGAGTTCGAGGCCAGTCTGGTCTGCAGAGTGTAATCTCTCGCAAGACTTCCCTTACTGTGATGGTATCCAGTTCTGCCTGTTAGCTTTCTTGGTGCTAATGACCGCTGCCTCTCCCCAACCACCAGGCTTTCAAGCACAACAGCACCATCTTCACCCGGCAGCCAGTACAGGCTGAGCAGAGGAGGGACCACGGTAGAGAGAAAGAGCTAAAAGAAGGTTTTGGAAGGGTCTCTGGTCAGAAATGAAGGTTGTATCAGTAGACCACTAATAGAACTTTGTGTTTTTTCAGTGCCTGGGGCTGACCCTAGGGCTTCGTGTGTGCGGAGCAAGGGCTGGGCTCGTCTTTATCTTCTTTTCCTTTTTATTTTGAGACTGGATCTTTCTAAATTTCCAGGCTGAAATTGAATGTATATGCCAGGCAAGTTTTTACTTTTAAAATTTATTATCAGTCAGGCATGGTGGCACATGCTTTTGATCCCAGCATTCAGGCGGCTGATTTCTGTGAGTTTAAGGCCAGCCTGGCCTATAAAGCGAGTTCCAGAACAAATAAGACTATTACACAGAGAAACCCTGTCTCAAAAACAAACAAACAAAAATTGTCATATATGTCATCGTACATGTGTATGTAAGGTGTGTGTATGTGTGCATGTACATGTGCCACAGAATACATGGTGGGGCTCAGCGGATGACTTTCTGGTGTCAGTTTTTTCTACTGTAGAATCTGGGGATTGAACTCAGGTCATCAGGCTTGCATAGGGCTTCCCCCAAATCCCCACTGAGCCATCACCCCGGCCCTAATCTGTGGTGAGATTTTGTTTGTGATCTAACAAATAAAGCTTGCCTGAAGATCAGAGAAGCAGACTAGCCAGCCACTAGTTCTTATCTCTATGAAATTCCCAGACGGAATGGTGTATACTGTCTCTACAGGTCCTCAGACCGAATCCCCATACTGAGTGCAGTGAGCTCCTGTCTCCTTCCTCTTTTTATTCCTCTCTCCACCCAGCCATATCCCTTCCTGTCTCCACCTCCCTAGTGTTGGGATTAAAGGCGTGTGACTCCCGAATACTGGAATTAAAGGTGTGAGCCACCGCTGCCTGGCTTCTATGGCTAACTAGCTCCACACTCTGATCTTCAGGCAAGCTTTATTAGATCCTGAACAAAATATCACCACATTTCCTCTTTTTTATCTAAAATTTAAAAAAGGTTATAACTAATATAAGAAAAACTATAAACATAATAGCTATATACAATATGTACAGGCAATAATTACATTAACAATGTCTAGTCATTAGCATTTGACAAATTCAGAAAAAATACTCCATTATCTATCCTATTTTGGTGATTCCAGGAGGTTGTACCTAATTCATTTTCTATCTTTAGGGGATCCTGAAAAGAAAAATTTGAGTTAATTGTCAAGCCCTGGGAGAGGTAGCTTATCATTTCTTATCCAGTCTCTGTGTAATGGGAAAGTGCAGGGTTTGTCTCAAGTCCTGGCTAGAGTAGTCTGTGAGACAGGAGCTACCGCATTCAGTCTGGTGATTCGGACTGAGGACTTGTAGACAGGATGCCTCATTTGGTCTGAGGATTCCGTAGCAGTAAGAACTAGTGGCTGGCTGCTTCGCTCCTCTGATCTTTCAGCTTTCACCCCCTAATATCTGACTCCAGGTTTTTATTATTAAGACCAATTAGAATTCACACTACACTAATTCTTTTTGGGACAAAGTCTTTTGATATAGTCCAGGCAGGCCTACAATTCCTCGCCTCCCAAGTGCTGGAATTACAGGCACATGCTATCATGCCTGGTGGTTGGACTTTGACTTTTATTCTGAATGAGAGGTGAATCCATTGGAAGGCTCTTTTTGGGAGAGATATTCTGATCCATCCTAAGTTTTATATTACGTTAGCTTTCCATTACGGGAACAAAATATTTGAGATCCACAATTTAAAAGGACAGGCTAGCCAGGCGAATGCCACTTGCTAATCCCAACACTTTCAGGCAGTGGCAGGAGAATCTCTGAGCTTAAAAGGAAAGATTTGCTTTGCTGGCGGTTTTAGCCTTTTAACCTTGGAGTAGCTTCATCACCTGTGGATCCATGTGATCCAGAAGAGTAAGGCAAAGAGCGTGTGGTGGAACAAGGCTGCCCTGTGTGTGTGAGAGACAGGCTGTCGCTGTGTAGCCTTGGCTGGCCTCAGGCTCATAATCTTCCTGTTTGAACCTCTGATTACTGTGACTGCAGGTGTGAGCCACCGTGCCCAGCTTAGGAGCAGAACTCTGTACTTCACAGCAGCAGCGAAGCAAAGAGAAAGAACAGGGGAAGGCCAGGAACTCAGCACCACATTCAAAGACACGGCCTCCAGTGGCCTCAGTTCCTGCCAAGGGTTTCTGATCCCAGTAGCACCAGGTGTTGGGGATCAAACCTTTTACACATGGACCTTTGGAGAATGTGATACTGTAACAAGCTTGAACAGAATTATGACTGCCATGCTGTGAGGAAACAGAAGGGCTGCCAGAGCAGAGGCAGAGAGCAGTTAAGTGACTTTGGGAGTAGGGGAGTGGTTGTTTGAGATATGGCCTCACACAAGCTGTGTAGCCAAGACTGGCCTTGAACTCTTGATCTTCTTGTTTCTCATCTACCAAGAAGTGACTGTTGTTACAATCCAAGCAAAACAAAACCGTGATAATCTGAATGGGGACAGTGACAGAACTGGTCAGATTCTGGATGCAGCTTGAAGACCAAGTCCACAGCATGTATTCAAGTCAGATAGCTTGGCGTGGTGGCACACGCCTTTAATCCCCGCACTCGGGGCAGAAGCGGGGGTTCTCTGTGAGTTCGAGGCCAGCCTGGTCTACAAAGTGAGTTTAAGGTCAGCTGTGGCTACATAGAGAGACTATGTATGAAAACCTGAAAAGGGGTAGAAGTGGACACCTGGTTTTGGATCTGGCCTCCGTATGCATGTATTGTATGACCAACTACACAGACACATGCATGCATGCAAACATGTAGACTTTCATACACCACACAGACAAAATATTTTTGAAAATGGTACATATGAGGTGCCTCCAGTGATTTTTTTCACTCAGGAAACCCAGATGGGGAAGCTTTGAGCTAGGGACTCTCTGGAGTCCCAGTTTGGATCTTACCTTGAATATCTCGGGGGTGAGTGGTGCCTGTTGCCCATCTACTTTCCCATATCGCTTTAAATAGCATGTAATCTCTCTGGTTCTATGTCCTGACAGGCAGCCAGGATGCTAGCAAGTCTAACTCTTGGCTCTTCTCTGCCTTAAAGTCTTGGCATATGTCACCCCCTCTCTGTGTGCCCTATGCCCCTGCTTCCTTAACCCCGTTAACTCCCCTGTGAAGCCTCACATGGTCCTGACCATTCCAATACCCACCACCACTCCAATGAAAGAACCCAGGCACTGAGACCTTTTCAGTATGTTCTAAATCTCTTCCCTTCCAGATTACCTGTTTCTACAGGGGATATTCCTGAGCCATCTAGAGGTGTGTGTGTGTGTGTGTGTGTGTGTGTGTGTGTGTAGACTGACTCTTACGTAATCCAGGCTGGCCTTAAACTCCAGTTCTTCCTGTCTCCATCCCACCCAGTGCTGAGATTACAGGTGTATCCCACCTTGTCAGACCTGAGAAATAAAATTGTGTTGTGCTACTGCAGGCCTTTGATCCCAGCACCTGGGAGGCAGAGGCAGGCAGATCTTTGAGTTGGAAGCCAGCCTGGTCTACAGAACGAATTCCAGGCCAGTCAAAGCTACATGGAAAAACTTGTGTTCCCCACCAAAAAAAAAAAAAGATTTTTTTCCCCTACAAAGCAAATCTTTTTTTTTTTAAAGATTTATTTATTCATTATGTATACAGTGTTCTATAGGCCAGAAGAGATCTTTCTACAGGTGGTTGTGAACACCATGTGGTTGCTGGGAATTGAACTCAGGACCTCTGGAAGAGCAGGCAGTGCTCTTAACCCCTGAGCCATCTCTCCAGCCCCCTACAAGGCGAATCTCGTGAAAGTTTGAGGATTCCCCGTTGTCTTTTATTCACAGGCATCGGGAAGAATGTGGTGTGTGAGAAAGCAGCGACATCAGTGGACGCCTTCCGGATGGTGACAGCGTCTCGCTACTACCCACAGCTGATGAGCCTGGTGGGCAACGTGCTGCGCTTCTTGCCTGCTTTCGTGCGCATGAAGCAACTGATCGCGGAGCACTATGTGGGTGCAGTGATGATCTGTGACGCCCGCATCTACTCTGGGAGCCTGCTCAGCCCCAGCTATGGCTGGATATGTGATGAGCTCATGGGTGGCGGGGGCCTGCACACCATGGGCACCTACATCGTGGACCTGCTGACCCACCTGACTGGCCAGAAAGCTGAGAAGGTGCATGGGCTCCTCAAGACCTTTGTGCGGCAGAACGCCACCATCCGCGGCATCCGGCACGTCACCAGCGATGACTTCTGCTTTTTCCAGATGCTCATGGGTGGGGGGGTGTGCAGCACAGTGACACTCAACTTCAACATGCCAGGTGCCTTTGTACATGAAGTCATGGTTGTGGGCTCAGCAGGACGCCTTGTTGCCCGGGGAGCTGACCTCTATGGGCAGAAGAACTCAGCCGCACAGGAGGAGCTGCTGGTGAGAGACTCGCTGACTGTGGGTGCGGGGCTCCCGGAGCAGGGTCTCCAGGATGTCCCGCTGCTCTACTTGAAAGGTATGGTCTATATGGTGCAGGCCTTACGCCAGTCCTTCCAGGGCCAGGGGGATCGCCGTACCTGGGACCGCACCCCGGTCTCTATGGCTGCCTCATTTGAGGATGGACTATATATGCAGAGCGTGGTAGATGCCATTAAAAGGTCCAGCCGATCTGGGGAGTGGGAGACTGTGGAGATGCTGACCGAGGAGCCAGATGCCAACCAGAACCTATGTGAAGCACTTCAGCGGAACAACCTGTGAGCCTACACATCCTTCCTCCCACAGGGCAGAGGGACCAGGGCGGGACTGGGAGCTGGGACTGGCTATAGCAGAGACAGTGTCTTTCGTTTAATAAATCAGCTTGGTCCAGGGCTAGGAGCTGGTTGAAGGTGGCCCAGGAAAAAGCCCATCTGTCCGTTAATGACTTCTCAGACTTGCAAGGCGGCCAGTGCCCCTGCTGCCGTATCTCAGGCTAGCCGTGTATGCAGGACAGGGCTGGGACCTGGCCCTTTGGTTCTACCGGAGAGCAGGGGCAGAAAAAGATCCATCTGTGTGCTGTTCAGCCTGATTTGTGGTCTGACAGGATGAGAGAGCCCAATAAAAGGAACTAGCTTGGTCGAGTCCTAAGGGGAGATGGCAGGAAGCCTTGCCCGTCTTAGACGGGGGCATCTCAGGACTGGTGAGGGCACCAGGTCATCCCTTAGGGACCTTCACCCGCCCTCCCATGAGATCAGACCCTTCCAGCCCCCAGGCAGGCTCTTCCCACAGAAAAGGAGATGTCTGTATATACATGGGGAGGAGGCCCTGAGTTGGCAGAGCGGAGACAAAGCGGAGCTGTACGACATCTGAGAAATGTCAGTAAATCAGTCAGAAAAAATGTGACATCATGGTGTGTGCTCGTTTGTTTGGGGTTGGGTTTCCTTAATAATAGAATGCTTGTTTGTTGCTGTAGATTGGTTGTTTTCCCCCTTTTCTCATGGACTACACCGCAGCTCTGAGCTAATGGCTCAGCTCATGGCCGAGTCCCAGAAGTTCTCCAAATATCCGTAGTAGACAGGGCGTGAGGCTTCCTGTCAGGCTTCTGCCAAGTGTGCCGTTTCAGGAAGATGGGAGGAGAGCCTGGGCCCTAGACAGGAGGTCATGAAAGGTTCCTTTTCTTTTTGTTGTTTTTTAGATTTGGTGTGTGTGTGTGTGTGTCTGTCTGTCTGTCGGTCTGTATGCGTGTATACATGTGTGCAGGTGCCCAAAGAGTCTAATAGATGACATCAGATTTCCTGGAGCACGAAATAGCGAGTTAGCTGATGTGGATGCTGGGAACTGAACCTGGATCCTCTGTGAAGGCAGTAAGCAATTTTAACTGCTGGGCCATCTCCAGCCCCAGGCTTCTGTTCTTGAAGCTGTGGTGTGGCTTCAGGAGAGCCCTCAGGGAGGAGCTTAAGGAGGAAGGGTCCTATGCCACCCTTTGGAGCAGGTTTAACTGGCACTGCCTGAGTCAGCTGGCTAGTCACCAGCCATGTTTATTAACTAGCTGTTGCAGTTAGGGACAGGCCTGAGCTGGGTGGGGTCTTGAAGGACAAATCTGCCCCCATTGTCTTCTTTGCCAAGCTGCTGGATTGCGAAGCCTCTGAACTCTGCTCCTCCTCCAGTCCTTCCTCCTTCAAATCCTGGGCTCCTTGCCAAAAAGCCCTGGGGAGACCTTCCTCTTCCTCTTGGCATCACTTGTAGGAATTATCAGGCCTGTTCCCTGCAGTGTCCTGATTGCAAACACTGTCCTTAGGAGGTAGAGTAAGGTTGGAGTGCCGTTGGTGTTCTGGTCCCCCAGAGTAAACCACTCCATGCAGATTATTACATTCAATCTCTAAGCCATTCAGAAAGGCACTGTTAATGTGTTCATTAGGGCTGGGCACGGTGCTGTACATCTGTAATCCTAGCATTTGGTACACAGAAGCAGGGGGCTCGCTCGCTGCAAGTTCAAGGCCAGCTTGGTCTACATAAGGATTCCAGGTCAGCCAGGGCTACAGAGCAAGAACCTTTCTCAAAATAAAATCCATTTAGAGTAGAAGGCACAAAGAGGCAGTTACTTGATAATAAGACTCCAGCTTCTGACCTTAAACCACCTTATTCCTGCGCTTCTCCCAGAGGCCTAGGCATTGACCCCTCTGCAGCAGGATTCAGCCTGATCTGAACTAGGAAGGCACTGTACAGTACCCGTCTCTAGAACATTCCGCTCAGCTCCAGCTGTCCCTGTGTGTCTTACTAAGGTGCCAAGGTCCCATTCAGGCAGTGGTGCACACCTTTAATCCCAGCATCTCTGTGAGTTTGAGGCCAGCCTGGTCTACAAAGCAAGTTCCAGGACAGCCAGAAATGTTACACAGAGAAACCCTGTCCTGAAAAAAAATCAAAACAAGACAAAAAGATGCCAAGTTCCTGCCTAAGTTTGAGAATGGCCGAGAAGTCCAAAGATGTATTTGTGAGAGAGCCTTTTTTTCTGGCCCAGAGCAGTGTTCAGGTCAGAGAACTTTGGAGAGAGACTCCAGTACTGAGCAGGTGGTGAGCGGTCATGAGGCGGGACTTTGAGAGCACCTCTCAGAACCTAGATCCAGGCTCCTGACATCTCTCCATCCCTCTGGCACAGTCACTGGGAAAGGCATGAGTTGAGCCTTAAGGCCCAGATACTTGTGGGTGAGAGCCCAGGGGTGACTGAGCCTAATTAGTTCCAGGCCTGTCCTGCAGCGCCCCCTCCTGGAAGGAGACAGCAGCATCTCCCAGGACTATATTTTCAAATAAAAGTTCCTTCTGCCTTAGCTCTCCCCTTTGATACTCCAACTAGATAGAACTTCCAAAATACCGTTAAGGCATTGATCTTCAATAAAACTCTATGCTTTGTGCTTACCGAGACATGACACCCGCTTCCTGCCTCCCCAACCATCTCACTAGTCCTTGTTCTTTGCTTCAGAAACAGTTTCTCCACAATGCCAGGCTGTGTGAGGAGCAGACCCCTCCCCCCAGGCATCACCAGTCTGCACTCGGAGGGATGGAAAACTCAACTTTATTGTATCGGCTGATGATAACTCAAGCTAATCCTCAGAGTGGCCAGACCCTGATCCCTTGTCTCATGCAGTTCCTTTTGGCTCTATGTTCAGGATCACCTCTGGGCATTGCCCTGATTGGCGGGCTTTACATTTTAGTTTGCATGATTGGACTTCTAAAAATTCATTTTTCTCAATTTTTAAAAACCAGCATGTTTAATCCCAGCACTTGGGAGGCAGAAGCAGGTGGATCTCTTGAGTTTGAGGCCTGCCTAGTCTACAAATCGAGTTCCAGGACAGCTAGGGCTACACAGAGAAACCTATCTTGAAAATATAAAAACAGCCAGGCGGTGGTGCACGCCTTTAATCCCAGCACTCAGGAGGCAGAAGCAGACGGATCTCTGTGAGTTTGAGACCAGCCTGGTCTACAGAGCTAGTTCCAGGACAGGCTTCAAAGCTACAGAGAAATCCTGTCTTGAAAAGCCAAAAAAACAAAAACAAAACAAACAAACAAGCAGGTTTACAGAAGCAGCAGGACAAAACAGCTCTTTTGGAACTATTTCTCAAAGCAGCTAAGATACAGTTCTTGGCATAAAGAGAAGTAAAAGTCCAAGAGATAACACGTCTCTTGAAAATATCCCCAGTCTAGGCCCCAGCAGGGCTCAGCTCCCTCCTACCGTGTAACTCTCTCACATGTAGTGTTTAGGCCACAGTAGAGCTTAACTCTTTCTTGACATGTAACTCCTCCCTACCATGGTAAGGACTCCTGTTTGTTTCCTCTCTTCTTCATCACCTCATACCTGTCCAGCCCGCGTCCCTGCTAGCCATGTCCTCGGCTTCCACCACACGGAACAGCCTTCCTGTTGACATCTCCCACGTCGGGACAGCTTTGTCCCAGAGTTATCATAGGCCTGAAAGGGCATCACTTGTCCCCATCTGTCCTCGTCACCCCCATCTGCGTTCCTACGTGAGCACGAGAACATAACAGTCCCTTGCTGCTAAGACAATACTGCTGGTCTAGGCCTCAGGAACATGGACTTTCCTCTCCATACTCGATCTCTGCACTTCCAGCTCTGCAGACAAAGAGGAAATGCTTCATATGCTTGGGCCATGTCACAGATGGTGTAGAACTCCCAGCAGGACCGGATAGACCCCAGGGTTTTCTGTAAAGCCACATCTCTGCACACATGACTTCCTCAGTCATATGAGGTCACACTTAGTTACCTAGCTCTGCAACATACTTCTCTATGCCCATCTCATCCCTGGGCAAGGTTCTGTCTGCGTGGCCCCTGTGGACAGTATCACCTGAGGTGGTGGAGCCATTACTGTAGGCAGATGGGGAGATGGCTTGCCAGTGACCTTGCTGTGGGCCAGAAAGCATCTGGGTAGCTTTCCAACGGAGGGAGCAGCCGAGAACGGTGCTAGGAGACTGGACCCTTCCCATCTGCTGTCACCTGCACCTGCCCACCTCATCCGCATCCAGTGACCACGCTGGGCCCTTATTCTAGAGGCCCTGCATGAGACTGTGGACTTGAGATGGCTTTAGCTGCTCTGTTTCCTACCTGTCATCTCTGTGGCCTCCTTGACTTTGACCTCCTTGAGGCCTTCGATGGGAGTCCCTAGGTAGGTGTGACCCAATGATGTGTGATCCAGGGGTGCACAGTCTGGTGAAGATATACAATTCATGGTATAAAAATGCCACAAATTCAGGGCAACACTGGTGCTTCCTGACTCCGTGAAAGAGGATGTGTGTAGTATGTATGTATGCATGTATGTATATGGTGTGTGCGGTATGTATTCATCTATGTATGTGGTGTGTGATATGTATATTGTGTACATATGTGACGTGTGTGGTATGTATTTGTATGTGGTATTGTGGTATGTATGTATTGTGTACATATGTGATGTGTGTGGTATATATGTATGTTTATGTGTGTGGTATGTGTATATACATGCATATATGATGTATGTGGTATATAGGTGTATATGTATGTGATATGTGTGATATATATGTGGTATGTGTGATATGTATGCACTAACCAGGTAGAAGGATAAAGGAACAAAGGCATCTTAGGCAGAGAAAGCCCCATGTGCAGAATGAAAGCAATACAAGGTCTGGTTGATCAGGAACATACACACAGCCAGTAAGTTTCAAAGCAGTGAGTAAAAATAGCAAGATGCAATAGGGACAGTGACATCATCAAGGATGCAGGCTATGTGCAGCAGGATTATTACATGTATCTGTAATACCAGAGACCACAGGCAGGGGGGCACTTTTGAGCCACCTACCTGGAGATTTTTGAGACCCAGGCCCATGTTCCGACCTCTCAATTTAGATAGATTCACTTGTAGAAATAGAGTCAGAAGTGGCACCAGGATCTTAGCCTGATACAGGAAGAAAAACATTTCACGTGGAAGCCCCGTATTTGAGGGGCATGCAGGAAGACCTGTGGTCTTGTCTCCACAACATCGCTCACTCATCTGCTTTTCCCAGAGAGCTGTCTATGGGACCAGAGGCAGTAGCCATCCAGTGACAGGGCCTTCACTGTCCCTACCATCCACCACCAGGGACCATTAGCGGGCAAAGTGTGGTCTGCTTGCTCTGTGACAATGAATGGGAGCATTTTTTAAAAAAAAAATTTAATGCATATGAGTGTTTTGCCTGCATGCATGTCTGTACACTGCAGTGTTTTGCCTGCATGCATGTCTATACACTGCAGTGTGTGCCTGGGACAGGCAGAGGCCAGAAGAGGTGTCAGATCCTGGGACAGGAGTAAGGTTCTGTGTGAGTGCTGGGAACTGAACCTGGTCCCCTGCAAAAGCAGTAAGTGCTTTTTACCAAGAGCCATCTCCCCCTCCCCCGTTTTCTTTCTTGTTTTGGTTTTTGGAGATAGGGTCTTTCTGTGTAGCCCTAGCTCCTGGAACTACTCTGTAGACCAGGCTGGCCTCAAACTCAGAAATTCCCTCGTCTCCACCTCCAGAGTCCTGGGGTTAAAGGTGTGCATCACCAAGTTTGGCTCCTGTAACTTTTTTTTTCCTCTACTGTTTTTGAGAGAGGGGTTTTTTCTGTGTAGCCCTGGCTGTACTAGAACTTGCTTTGTAGACCAGGCTGACCTTGAACTGACTGAGGTCTGCCTGCCTCTGCCTCCTGAATGCTGGAATTAAATGTGTGTGTCACCCCCCCACACCTCCCCTCCTTTCTTTTTTTTTTAAAAGATAGGGTCTCCTATAGTATACCCTGGCCTTGAATTCACTATGCAAATGAGATTGGCCTTTAACTCTAATTCTGCCTGCCTCTACCTCCCAAATTCAAGGGCAGAGCAAGGCCTAAGCCCAGGTCCCCAGCCACAGGTATGCACCACCACAACTGGTTAGTAGTAAACTTTCTAAAATGCCAGTCTTGGGTCAGACAAATGAACTTTGCCTCCTCAGAGGTTGATCCCAGATTTGATCCCCTTGAAGTAAGGGCAAATGTAGGCCCTCCAAGAGACAGGCAATGGGATCGAACACTGGTTCCTAACACTCTTCTTCACTCCGTCCCAAATTCCTCTCCCTCACTGCCTAACATCAGTAGGTCTGACCCTCAGGCAGACACCATGGGGGTGGGGAGCACAGAGCCTGGGCACCATGCCTACCTACCTCTGTGTGTAACACTTTCCTCTGATATGGAAACACTCCATCCTGGAGGAGGCTCCTTAAACAGGAAGGTAAACAACTCAAAATAGCTTCAAGAAGTTCCTGAAACTGACCAGATTCACCATAAAAGCTGCGAGTCTCTCTCATAGGGAAGGAGCTGTGGTGCCTCTTAAAGGACTTCGAGACTAGACAGACCAGAGGCCTGGAAAAAGCAGAAACCCACCAAGCGCCTGAAGCACCTGGAAGGGACACTCGAACCTGTTGAACCGCCTCCAGGCTGTGCAACATGCTCCAAGTTCCCAGCTCCTGTGAGCTGTCACCCATGCTGGGGTGGGCTGGGGTGCTGCAGCTGCCTTTGAGGCATTTCTGCTCCCGTAGTAACCCCTCACCCATATTCCTGTAAGTAACCCCAATAAAAGTCATCGGTTCACCAAGTTGGGCTTCGGTGGTATCTGTTCTTGGGTCGGGTCTGTCCTGGGCTCCCTGTCTGGGGTGAGTAAATGTGTGTGTCTCTCCAGGAAAATATTCACAACACCCTCACCCACCCTGACACACTTGACCAGGTCCCAGCTGGTCCAGATGACCCATCAGGCAAACGCTGCACAGGTGAACCCTCCTCCCTTCTCCCCAGCCTTTTCCCCAATTCAGACATCGTATTTGAGGAATCAGTCTTCAAGATGGGAAATATTTATTTTCAGCAAGTCCAAATTCCCAAGTACAGATAAATTCCAAGCATAGATAAAAAGACTAAATTCCTCCCTCCACCTGACGGCCCAGGCCTGAGCTCACAGTCCTAGTTTAGGCCCAGGGTAGAGACATGTCACTTGTACTGAGGGGAGAGTGGGGGCACAAGAGGGGCGGCACAGACACTCAACATCTTGTCAATATCCACTTGGGTTGTCTTATCCACCTCAGCCTTGAGCCTGCCACTCACCCTCAGATTGGACAACCCCCCAGGCTCCCCTCCAACCTCCTGCCCTAGAGAAGGAAGGGTGTGCGTGAGAGGCACTAATGTGTTAGGGCAGGGCAAAGCGAGGCCTAAGCCCAGCTCACCTGCCACGGGCAGCAAGGCCCGCAAGTGCAGCTGTTCCGCACCTGCCTCCTCAGGAGCCGGGGCTAACTCCGACTCGGGCTCCACCTCTGGCTCTCCGTCGCCGTCCCCGGCCTGATTCAGCTCGGGGTTGCAATAGTTGATGTATTGGTACAGTGGCCGCAGGCGCTGGGCTTTTCCTGCAAGAACCCAGGCAGGGTAAAGACTGGAGTGCCCGGTGGTCCCATGTCGGACTGAGAAGACAAAGAAAGGTAACCCCAGGGAGGGCTACTCACGCTCCAGCCCCAGCGTCTCTGTGGGTGCAGGTGTGCTGGCTACAGCTGGGGGCACAGGAGCCCCTACACTCTTGCGCTTCTTGGCTTTTTTGTGCTGTTTAGCAGGCAGTGAAGACTCACTGTGGCTGCCCTCTGGCTCCTCCTTCTGCAGCAGCATCCCTGGTGGCAGTTCAGCTTCAGCCCTAGGTTGGGCATGGTAGCTTGGCCCTGGGAGGGCTATGGTAGCCAAGCCTGGGACAAGAGGCCTGACAGAGGTAGGCTTTAGTCTTTAGATCCTAGCCCTGCCTGCCCACCAATGCCAGGACTAGTTAGCTGCCCCTTTCTTGGTCAGTGAAGCCCCAAGCCCAATAGAGACCCAACACTCGTAGCAGTTTCCTACAAAACCAGAATGCTCCAAATCTTTGTCTTTTCCTTAGACTCCTGTTCTAGAGAAACAGAAGGTTCTACTTGGGAGTTAGAGGTAGCAGCAGAAGACAAAGATTTCTACCTCAAAGGTATCAGAATTTAGGACTATCGGGGTGTAAAAACCCCCTCCCCAGCCCAGCAGCTCCTTCCCTCTGAAAGTCCCTCACTTGATGGGCTTTCTCTTGGTTCCATGACTGGGCCTCACAATGGATGATGCCGGCTTGGGTCCTCTCTCCTCTCCTGCTTCCACCCCTGGATTGAGTCTTTCTTCTCCCCGGTTTATTCCTTCCTCCTGGAGCTCCGGCTCGAAGCTGTGTCCTATTGAACACTTGTCTTCACTTGGGGGTCTGCAGGTCTCATGTGCGGGCACCAGACACTTTTCTCCTGGTCCTGGACACTAGAAGATACACATAGCAGCCAACGGCCAGGCAAAGCGTTGCAGGGAATCAGTCATTCAAAGTCCAATATTGGCCACAAAATATGACATGAAGGCTACCAGCTCAGACCCCTCTACTTGCAGGGCTTGGCCGGGCAGTTAGGGAGTTGGGTCACCTAGAGTCCCGCTTCTCCTGCCCTACCACTCCACCTCCCGAGCTTCACCTCAGGGATCTCTGCAACCTGGGCTAATCCTACTGCCTCCCCATTCTGGGCTTCTGGTTGCCTCTGGGCCCCTGCTGAGGCCATGGTTGTGCGAACTCAGTGCTTCCCTTGACGGTTGCTAGGAGAAGACGGCGGGCTCAGATGGGGGTTGGACTGGTGTACTCAGTGTTGGCAGATGAGGATCCTGCTGAGACCGGAGACTTACACTAGCTCCTCATCTGCAACTACAAAGCCCAGAAGGCTTTTCGCCAAAATCATTTGACCCCTGACCTCAGGAAGCCATTTGTTGCCAAGCAACAGCAACTCCTACCGGCTTGCAACAGTTGGCGGTAAAACTGCTCCAGTGAGAGCCCCCGATGGGGCGCGGCGGGGGAGGGGGTCGCGAACACCTCAGGGCAGTGGGCTAGGATCCCGGTCGCGGGGCGGTGGCGCAGGCTCAGCCTAGGGGCCGGGCGGGAATGGCGGGTATTGCGGGACTGCAGGGCTCGGGTCGAGGGTGGAAGCACCCGACAGGGATTGGGGGTCGGAGTTACGCAGCGCAGTAGGCTTCGGTGCATGGTTGCAGGGCTGCGGTAGAATCATGTGCGAGGGCCCGTCCCGCATCTCTGGACCCATTCCCCCAGACCCTACACTCTGCCCGGACTACTACAGGCGGCCGGCCTCGGGTGAGTTGCGGGGTCCCGCGGCAGGCAAGTACACCGCGCCGTCACTAAGCACGGCTTTCCACCGCTTCTTGCTCCTCAGCCCAAGGTCGCCTGGAAGGAAACACGCTGAAGCTGGACCTGCTGACTTCAGGTCGCGACCTGGACTCCTGTCCTCCTCGTGGCCCCCGCATCAGGCCTGGAGCCCTAGAGATCCTAGAGCGTGGTCAGCGAGGCGTGGGGGACGTGCTGCTGCAACTGGGGGGCATCTCCCTTGGTTCAGGGGTGTCTCCTAAGAGTAAGTCCTTCCCAGAGGGGTATGGGGCATTGGGAGGTCAAAAGCAGAGATTAAAATAGGATGCACCTTAATTGCCTTGAGCCCAGGTAATTATGCACTTTTCTGGGTGTTAGTTTTCCTAGCACAAAAGGAGGATGAAATAAATGCACTATGTCCTGGCAGGATCAGAATTCGTCCTTACGTAGGAAATCCTAGCTTCAAGCATTCACACCTTGATGGAACATTGCTTAAGTAGCCTACTTCTTGTACTAAGTTTTATAGGTGTTTGGAAAACAGGCTTAAAAGTATGGGCCTCGCAGTTAGAGGCAATAAACAAGACAGGAAAAGGTGATTAGTGGTAAACTTTAGTATCAAAATGTAGAGGATAACCAGGAGGAATACTGGGTAAGAAGAGAATAAAGTGATAACAGTGCTGTGTATGTAATGTTGGAGATGCCAATCAGCTCCTCAGAGAAGGTCCATCCAGGGCCTCTCATATACTAGGCATCTCTTCACCAGATCGTCCAGGAGAAAGTTCTGCCTGTAGGTGTCAGCCTACATGTGCTCCACTCTTAAGTTGCACGGCCATTTGTAGGGCTGTCCCTAGCAATAGTTCTTCCCCAGGAAAGGATTCAAAAGACCATGAGAAGGAAAACCTGAGGCGGATCAGAGAGATTCAGAGGCGCTTCCAAGATCAAGAACGCAGCCGGGAGCAGGGCCAGCCTAAGCCCCTGAAGGCACTGTGGCGCTCACCCAAGTACGACAATGTGGAGTCTCGAGTCAAGGCCAGGATGAAGGTATCTGTCCCTGGGAACCAGCCATAATGTCAGTCTTGGTCAACAGACAGTTATACCCTGACCTAACTTACAGGGTGTGTATATGGGGTGGGGATCATAAAGGCTAAGACACCTGGGGTGGACCTTTTCTGGGGAGCTGATTGGCATCAGGGAAAGTAAGAATTAGGCTAGGGAAAGAGAAGAAAGAAGTTCTGGGATCGGGGCAATGGGGAGAGTGGGTATCACTGTATTTATAGAAGGTTAGAGTTGAAAGCCAGCTGGACACATACCTTAAAGAACTACCTAAGCTGCTTGTCAACATTATTTATTTGTGATGTTGGAGACCAAATCCAGGGACTCATACACCCTAGGCATACACTGTACCACTCACTAAGTTATACCCCAGCCTTCCTACTAATTCATTCTCAATTTTTCTGCCCCTGTCTGTTTCATGTAACTCAGGCTGACCTCAAACTCTGTGTACATGAGATAAAGTTATAACCTTTGAACTCCTGACTCTCCTTTCTCCACCTCCCAAGTACTGGAATTAAAGGTGTTTCCTACCACACCACTTTCTTTTTCTTTTAATTAATTAATTAATTTTTTCAGATAAAAACATTATGTGTATGGGTGTTTTGCCTGCGAGTCTATGTATCACAGAGGCCAAAAGAAGGCATCAGATCTCCTGGAACTGGAGTTCCAGACTGCCGTGAGCTGCCATGTGATATTGGGAACGGAATCCAGGTCCCCTGGAAGAGCATCCAGTGCTCTTAAATGCTGGGCCATCTCTCTAGCCTTCTCCTCCGTTCCCCCCACTACTTTCTTTTGAGGCACGATCTCACTATGTAACCCAGTCTAGCCTCAAACTCATTATGTAGCCCAGGCTGGCCTTGAACTTTTAACAGTCCTCCTGCCTTAGCCTCCTAGTTGTTGCGATAATAGGTTTGGACCACCACTTCCAGCTCATTTCTGAAACCCAAGCTAGCTGTTTAGCCCCAAGCTGCCCTTGAATTCTCTCCATAGCCTAGACTGGCCTCAGACTGTCAATCCTTCCGAGTCCCGGGACTATAGGCATGTACCACCATTCCTTGAAACATGTATTTCTGAGGAAAGAGCGGAGGGTTATGTTTAGGTTTTGGTGGTAGTTACCATGTCTCTATGCAGGGACCCTGAAGGAGACAGAGGACTGAGAGAAAAGACAAGGTCACATGAGAGTGTATTCAGGCTGAAGCATCTGTGGGACTGCCAGGGGGTAGGACTGTGTCCAGGAAGCAGATGGATACATAGCTCTCGATCTAGTCAGTGAGACCAGAGTGTTATTGACAATTAAATTGAGGTCAGTAGCTTGAAGGAAGCATCCTTGGTTTCTAGGGCTTGGAGGCAACCCTCAGTAACTTTGGGGTGCTAGAGCCAAAAAGCTTGGTTAAGGAGTAAGGGAGCCGGGTGGTGGAGGCGCATGCCTTTTATCCCAGCACTCGGGAGGCAGAGACAGGCAGATCTGTATGAATTCAAGGACACCCTGGTCTACAGAGTGAGTTCCAGGACAGCCAGGGCTACACAGAAACCCTGTCCTGAAAAACCAAAAATAAATAAATAAATAAAAATGGAGAAAAGGATGATAGCTAAATGAAGACGAATGTGGACAGCAGGTAGTTTGTTCTCTTGAGGTTTTAAGAGAAAAGCCCATTTAAATGTTGAGACGTATTCCTTCAAGGAGGCGGCCCATCGAAATGAGCATAGAGAGGAACTTAAAGGAAGGAGAGACAGAACAGGAAATAGTTTATGGCTTAGGACCCTGTCTGCAGCCTCCCTGATTCCTCTGCTGTGCCTACCTCCCAGGAGCCTGGCCCTGCCTCTGTGACGGAGCCTGCCCACTTCCTTCGGGCACACTCCCGCTGTGGACCTGGGCTCCCACCATCCCGCGTCTCCAGTCCTCAGCCTGCCCTGCCAGGTGCCAAAGCCAAGGTGAGAGAATCTGTGTGGACTAGAGAGGCCATTAGCCAGCCGTCCTGGGGCTGGGGTACAGAGGTACGACAGAGTGCTACAGGATCCCCGCCATGCTTGCCATGTTCCTGCAGGGGCCAGGCCTGGGTGTGGATTTCATTAGTCACAATGCCCGAGCTGCCAAGAGAGCCCCGCGGCGCCATTCCCGCTCCCTGCAGGTCCTCACACAGGCTCTGGAACAGCAGCGGCAAGCCCAGGAACACTACAATGCCACACAGAAAGGCCATGTGCCCCATTAGTAGGTTCCATGGGCCAACAAGTATGGTTAGGGACCTTTGTGGGGGGTGGGAGCCAGTCTGCTTTGGTGTCCTCAACCCTGGGGGTCCTGTGACTTTACAGCCTGTTGGAACGCAGGGATCTGTGGCGGAGGGAAGCTGAAGCTCGTCAGCGTAGCCAGCCAGACCCTGCCGTGCCCCCTGGCCACACACTCATGCCTGAGAACCAGCGACTAGAGACCCTGAACAGTCTGCTCCAGAGTGAGTACTTGGGCAGGGGTGGCTGAAAGGGAACCCACGGGGCACCGTGCACGCCTACCCAACATTCACTGTTCCCATGCCTTCTTGTAGGCCAGAGCCAGCTGCTGCGTGAACTAGTCCTACTACCTGCTGGGGCAGACTCTCTGAGAGCCCAAGGCCACCGTGCTGAACTGGAACGGAAACTGGTGCAAATAGATGAGGCTATCAAGATCTTTTCCCGACCCAAAGTCTTTGTGAAGATGGATAGCTGAGCTCTACCTCTGTGGGTAGAGTGACAGGAAGATCCATGCTGAGGGTCACCCATGGCTATGAAGGGCAAGCCATGTCATAGTTCCAATGACAGGAGCACTAGGGTGGGCAGTTTCTTTAAAGCACTTCCTAGTCACCCAGCCTTCCACCTCCTATATCAAAATTAAACCTTTTGTATACAGCTGCTGTTTCCATAGCATCTTTCTTAACACTGTCAGTGGGCCTCCTGCTGCATAGTTCTAGGAAGGTCTCTGCTGCACCCTTATCCCTCCTGCCTCATGTCCAGGTAAGAAGGCTGACTTACAGGCTCAGGAAAGGGATTTGGGCTGGGACATAGAAGGACCATGTCTGCATTTGTAGACAACCTTTAATATTCCCTGGGCCGAGAGGGCTCTGTGAGCAAAGCTAATCTTCCCTCCCCAGCTGGGAAGTCCGTGCCAGGCTCTAGCAGCCTGAACTGACAAGGGCTGCATCTTTGCCTGTCAGAGGCTGAATCCGCTAACATCACCTCGCATGCCATTCCCCCAGTCAGAGTTGGCTTGCTCTTGGCTATCCAAGGAGGGCAGAGAGCTGCCAGCACCAGGAAGTAGGCAGCCAGGTTGCAGGTCCCAGCGCAGGGGCCCCTGAGACAGCCCATTAGAACAGGGAGGGTGGCGATTCTCAATGACCAGGTCACTGTTGTCCTCATCACTCTCAGGGTCAGCAGGCCCAGGCCCTACAGAGGAAGGCCCTGTTGGACGCCCAGACGCCCCTCGTACAACATTATTACGCTGGTTGGCAGGCTTGACAGTGACAATGAGGTTATGGCTGTTGGCAACCATCATGTCCGTCACTTGGTCCAAGGTCTTCCCAGCCACCTCAATGCCATTGACCTCGAGGATCTCATCACTGACTGCCAGCAGCCCTGTACTCTCAGCCAGGCCCCCACGTACCAGGCGGGAGATGAAGATTCCTGGAACCCGCTCCAGGCCCTGGGGAGCCACCCGAACACTCATGCCATCTCGAATGTAGAAGCCCAGGGGGCGGTCTGATCCGTGTTTGTGGAGCCTCACACGCCGATGGGTCTCGGGGAGCAGGTCCACGTCTATGACTGAAGACACCTGGCGGAAATCCTGGGGCAGGCTGATTAGCAAGGGTGGTCGGGTGCGCAGAGATGCTGCTGGTCGAAGCAGGAGTCCTTTCTTGCGCCTCTGCAGAGAGTTGGAGGCAAAAGCCAAGCCACTGGAGTCGCCTTCTGCTGCAAGAGAAAGGGGACTGGGATTAGAGACTGCTCTCTCATTTTGGCCCCTGACAGGGACAATGCCAACTGTTTCCTACCACTTGGAGGTCAGCCCAAGGGCAGAGATTGAAAGTGAAGCCTGGGAACCCTGGGTATGGATTAACCTTTGTAGACCTGCCCTGTCACCCTACCCCGAGGAAACTGCCCACTGTACCCCATCCTCACCCCGCTTCTGCACCAATAGGCGCAGCGGCGGGGGCCCGCTGGCAAGGGCTCGGTGCAAACTGTCATCGTTGGTGAGGGGCAGCAGGTCGCCGTGAGCATCGGTGTAGCCAAGCAGCACATCCAGGCCAGAGATCTGGTGTACCACACACAGCAACCGCGAGAACTCCTGGAAGCCTTTCACGGAAGCGCGGGGCAGCGCAAAACGTCGGAACTCGGCGTCAAACTGGAGGCGGGAGAGGAAGGGGAGAGAAGTGTCAAGACAGAGCCCAAGCCCCTTTCTCACTATAGGTCTGAAGCTGTCAAGTGAGAGAAAGGGCTGCTGCAACAGCTGCAGCCTTTAAGCTTAAACCTCAGTTCCAGTACAAGGGACACTGTCCAAGGTCCTTTCCTACATACCCAGGCCACAGAGAGACTCTGGAGATCCATGTGGGAAGGAGGATGCGATGAGGGGAGGCAGACAGAAAAGCAGAATAGGACGCGGAGGATGGAGGACAGAAAGAGGTGATGGAGACCAAGGAGCCAGTAAGGGAGAGAAAGGGAATTGGAGCGTCTAGCGCAGTGGCCAGAGCCGAGGCCGGAGGAGCCCTTACTTTGCTCTTCACCTCGACGATGCTATCGGGACTGCGCGCCGGAGTCCTCTGCGGTCTGGCCATTGCGGGACCAGGCGGGCTGGGGACAGTGCTCCAAGGCTGCCCGCCGAGGTGCAGGTGCACTGCCCGGCCCGCTGGCCCGCGCCGCCCCGCCCCTGGCGGTAGCACTCGCCCCGCCCTCCCACCCGAACCATGACGTCAAGGGAGCCGCGACACGGAGAAACGCGGAGTCTACGTTTCCTAGGAAACGGAGACGGAGGTAGCGAGGGCTTCCTCTGCTCTTACGTCATTACGCTATGGTTCGAGCGTCCCTAGGAGGACTCGACCAATGGGCAGAATGAGGGAAATAACTTGTTTTGTACTGTCATTTCCACTGGCCTTACAGGACCGCGCGTTTTGCAGGAGACTAAGTCAACATTTTGAGAAAACCTCTTGGGGTCACACAGCACCGAAGTGGCTTCGAGCCCCACTCTCGGCTGCAGCCTCCTAACCTGGATCGCTTCTTTCCAGACCAGCCCTTGCTCTTTCCTTTCAGGTGCTAGGTAGTACTGAGGAACAGGTCACAGGCTCAGAGAGCTGACTTGGTAAAAACAAGCATCGAGCAGCCTGGCAGCTGTGCCAAGCAAGTCAGCCAAAGACTACATTACAGACCAGGAAGTACTTGCGCAGGCGTAGAAGCGCGAGTAGGCGGGGCTCCAACAGGCTCCACCTAACGGTCACGTGCTTCCTCTCCCGCCGAAGACTGAGCAGCGCTCGCGGGAAGCCTCTGCCCCCGGGGGTCTTTTAGGGTGCTGCCGGGCTAATGTACAGCTGGGAGAACCTGGTCCTGCGTCCCTGGATTCGAGAGCTGATCCTAGGCTCAGAAACACTGTCAAGTCCACGAATCGGGCAGCTGCTCAAGGTGAGCAGGCCACTCAGATCCCGGAGACCTGAGTGGGGGCTGAGAAAGTTAGTTGACACTCGCCACTACTGTTAGGTGCTCCAGGACTCGGAGACTCCAGGCCCATCTTCTGCCCCTGACACACCTGACTCCGGGGCCGTGTTGCTCGTGTCAGACGGAACCCACAGTGTCCGATGCCTGGTGACGCGCAAAGCCATCGACACCTCCGAGTGGTAAGACACAGGTGCTACCTGTATGGAAGGTGGGAGCGCAAAATTGAACCTGAGGTGGAAAGCTCTCCCAGGCGTGTGGGGTTGGTGCCTGGGTGCCTGGGTTCTGGGCAGTAAGGGCTGTACTTGTCGCAGGGGGGAGAAGGAGTTCGGATTCCGTGGGATAGAGGGCCGGATCCTGCTGCTGCTGTCCTGCGGTGTCCGCATTGAGGTTCCTCAGGACCATACGGTGAGGGTGGTAATGCTCACTTGGGTGGGTTGGTTACTGTGTCTGGCTCTTTGTGACATCTCCTGAGACACCACACCCCAACTCCTCCAGCCTGCCGAGTTCTACCTCCAGGTGGACCGCTTTAACGTGCTGCTCGCGGAGAGGCCCCGGCTACAAGTGACTAGTTGGTAAGTGAGCCCTCCAAGAGAAGGGAATGTAGCTCAGTGGCAAAGCACAGGCTTAGCATACCTGAGGGGTTCAATCCAAGGCTCCCCATATTCCTTCCCCGAAAACAAAACGGTATATGAAGTTTCCACGCTCTGCTTCTTCACTCTCCCTGGGCTAGGTCTTTGGGTGAAGAGACTCGGCTGTAAGTCACACTGACTACCTACACCCTCCTTTCTCCCAGCAACCAGGATTCGGATGTGCAGAGAAAGCTCAATGAATGCCTTGAGTGAGTCTGGGATTGGGCTCTGAGGCTGAGTGTGGTTTGGTCTGGGGTGGCAGAGCCAGGTAGACTGGCATCAGGGTTGTTCCTGAGAAGTGTTCCCATTGTCTCTCTAGGGACCACCTTTCAGAGTCTGCGTCTTCCAGTGCAGGTACTGGTAGGGTTTCCCGATAATCCTACCTCTCCCCCAGAAGCAGAGGTCCTTCCGCGGCCGTCTTGTTCTCCTCAGTAAGTAACTGTAATAACTTACCCATCCTTCTTGCTTCTACTTCAACCCTTTGGCCAAATCTCTGGCCTCAGGCCTAACCTTGTCTCAGCTTCTGGATGAGGTGAAGGAAGACCAGGATCACCGAGGGGCACTAGTGCGGCTCGCTGAGAGCTGCCTGACGCTAGCAGGCCCTTGCCCAGCCACCCCCTTCACCCGGTGGACTGCCTGCTTCCAGCCCACGGTTAGTGTGGAGCTTTACTTGGGAGGTTGCAGGGTGAGGGTTAGACAGCTGCCTTACTGAGGGTTTACGTCTCACAGGAAGAAGCCGTGTTCACTGTCTCCAGCTTATTGCTGCACATCTCTGAGAAGGACGAGCAGATTCTGAGTTCTCTTGGCTCAAGTCAGAAGGCACAGGGTAAGGATAACTGGGGAGGTCAAGGTGACGGGGGTGGGTCTTTGGAGCCTAGGGCCTACCACGGCACTGATGATTCTCCCCAGAATTCCAGGGACCCAGCTTATTTCTTTAGCCAGTTCCGTAGGTTCAGGCCGTAAGCATGCGGTACTGGATTGTGTAGAATGCTGTGAAATGTTGTATGATAGTTCACAGGCACTCAGCTCACACTCAGTCTCCTCCCCCAGAATCCCCTGCTTCGCTCAGGCACACGCCACTGGAGGAAAGTGATGCCAGTGTTAGCCTTCTGTCAGCCGTGGCTGCATCAGCCCCTGGGCAGGACAACAGCTTCCAGCCTCCACCCGCCGTTTGCTCATCTTCTCTAAGACCTCAGGCTCCCAGTTCCCCACCCCGCAGTTCTACACCCAGCCCCCCACTCCTGACCTGTAACCCCAGTCTCTTACCCCCTAACCATGCCTCCAGTCCAGCCCAGGCCCATAGCCCGGTGATCAGGGAGCTCCAGTGGCCTGGCAAGAAACGGCAGCTTTTCCCAAGAACCAGAGCGAAGGAAGCCCACGAACCCTGCTCTGTCTGGGTGAGCACCGCAGCTGGAGAGGTGGGAGGGTTTGGGGAGTTTGGAGAGAGCCAGAGGTAGGCTGGGATTACACTAGGAGTCCTTACTGGACTCTCTCTACATCCCTTTCAGGAACCCCCAAAGAGGCATCCTGATGCTTCTGCTTTTCAGTATAAGTATGAGACCCCCTCTGCCTCCCTCCATGCGCAAGTCCAGGCTGCCAGGTGAGTGCTTGGGGCTGCCCCACTGTGCTGGTCACCAGTCTTAGATAACCTTGACCTAAGGCCATGGTTTCTTTCCAGACTCCCTCCTCAGCTTGTAGCTTGGGCCTTGAACTTGGTGATGGAGTCAGAGTCAGAGCCCGAATTAACGCAGGTATGAGGAGTCACTTGGACGCAGCAGAGGATGCGTACACACAGGTCTACGGACAAACAGTATTCCATACCCTGTTTCATTCAAGTTTTTTAATAAAATAATTTCATGCGGCAGGAAAGGACAGGATTAGGGATTGGGGCCGCCGCCTCTTTGGTCTGTGGCTGGGGAGGGAGGGCTCCGCTCAGGGCTGGAAGGTTCTGTTGGGTATGGAGAAAGAGGCTTGGTTCCGAGGCCAGAGCCTGTGAGGGGAGATGGAGGGAGAAAGTTTTAGGTTTGTGTTGAACAATATTGTCAGCTTCCCAGTTGGCTCTTGCCCACTCTTACCTAAGCTTGGGGATGGGGGTGCCTCGAGCTTTGGCCTGCGCTTGAGGACAGGGGAGCGCTGCAGCCGAAGGGGCCGTTCTAAAAAGGATACAGAGAAACTCACTGGCTGTTCCCAACCCTTCTCCATCTTCAGTGCACGCACAACATGCATAGCTATTCCCATAGATTCCCCAGCCAGTGTCCTCCCACCCTCAGAGGCCAGTGTCCAGGAGGTAGGAAGGGCTTGCACTCTTGCACTACGCTGAGCCTCTGGGCTTCCTTGTTGCTCCAGCATTCCCAGTACCCGTGGTCCTGTCCAAGGACCAGAGCCAAGACAGAAGTCCAGGAGCCCACCCTTCCCCATCTCCTGCACTCAAGCACAGACAGAGGTGTCCCCCTCACCCGCAGGGGTCTGGAGCTGGTCCTCATGCACAGACACTGCTCGCCGCCCTGCTGAGAGAGGCCTCGGCCTCAGCTGGCCATCTAGAGGAGGCCAAGATATCAGGGTATGATCCCGTTGGCTGCCCACACCCAGTGTTGGCCTCCCACTATGAGTGTTCCCAGATGGGTCAGGTTCCCAGCAGGCGCTCCACCAGTCCCAGCCTAGGAGTGGGGTGCCCACCTACCTTCATTCCGAGGGCCCAAGCAGGGATCCTCAGGGAGACTCAGGATGTCTGGGGAGGGGCTGGTTCTTCGGGGACTTGGGCTGGGACATGGGGAGGGAGGCCCTGGACCATCTTGCTGGCCCCAACCACGGCCTCTGAGCTCCGCATTCAGCTGCTGCCCCAGTGTCTTCCAGGTGGCAGACTCAGGGCCCTGGCCCCCTGGCCCAGGTCTACAGGAGGGATCTGGGTGAAGAAACAAGTGTCAACTAACACCTGAGCCTGGTCCTGGAGATGGTTCTGAGCAATGGTCTGCTCCCTTGCCTCACAGTCCCTGTGCCTCCCTCAATACATACAGTGGCTCTCACTCACCAGCCGACACAGAGTGGGTTCGGGACTTGATTGAGATGGGAGGGGTCTCTGTGGAACTGTCCATAATGTCACCTGCAAGGTAGGACTAGAGGCTTAGGTGCCAGACCTTAATGCGAAGGGAGGAAAAACAGCTGTCCCCTCCCCCAGGAGAGCAAGTACCTTATGGACTATCTCTAAGGCCACCTCCTCCCCCTAAATATATTTCTTTGTTCCAGGGTCCTACTTACCATCTGAGCCTGCCTTCTTGATCTCACCATCTTTGCTCTGTAGGAAACAAATCAGTGCCTTTGTTGTCCTGACTCTGGCCTTATCTCTGTTCATTTACATTCTTAAAACCTAGCTATAGAATGCATTTCATTGGATGGCCAGAACATGGCAAACCTAGTCCCTTACCTTACAGTCTGGGATGACAGAGGTGACACACAAAAGTATGCATGTTAGTCCTAACAAGGAGATACTGTGATTCCTTTGGTTTTGTTTTTGAGACAGTCTCACTGTATGGCTCAAGCTAAGTCTTCCTTGGGTCTTCCTGCCCCAGCTTCCTGAATGCTGCGATTACCACTACACCCAGGAGATAATGTGACTTCTTGGTTCTGATTCTTCCCATACTTAATGTCTCTTAATTCAGGCCAGGTCTCATTGCATATGTGTTTTTTCCTAGAAAACTGTTAAGTGGACAGTACACAGGGGTGTGGTTCATAATCAAGACTATGTTTAGAATGACATTATCAGGGTGACCATGAAAGGGAGCAGGGAAGGCTCACGAGAAACTGCAGGGACAGCAGAAAAGGAACCTGAATAACGGAGTACACAACCAAACACAAGATGTAAACCGATGGCTGTGTGAGGTTCTGAGATGCTCCAAAGGAGCTCCAGGGAGGTCTCAGGAGGCCAGCTCCAGGGTCCCACAGATTCTGCGGCAGGATTAGTAATCTGGATAAAGAGGAAGTCCTGGAGGACTGTTTCCAGGTATAGGGAACAAGGTCAAATTTCTGTTCAGAATCTTTGGAGAGAGTTCCCTAGACCCTAGGAAGTACATCTCTGGGCCAGATCAGAAAGAAGGAACAATGACTATTTTTAGGGTGAGAGAGTGTAAGTGACAATCGGATCACATTTGTGCCATGTTCTTTCCCCCTTGGTCACATATGTCATCCACAGATTGCCACACGCCACCTCACACACACCCCAACTCACTTGCTTCCTCTTGCTTTCGGCACCCCCACTGCCCCGGCTCACGCCGATTCTCTGCAGCATCACTTGTACCCGCTGCTCAAAAGATGGAGCCAGTTCCGTTTCTCCCCGTTCCAGAGGACGCCTCTGAGGACAGAGATGTCTAAGTGGAGAGAAAGCCCACTGCTTTCTATTCCTGAAGAGCCCTCAGCTCCTGACTTCAGTCTTTACCTTGTCAGGTCTGGCACCCACTGTTGCTTCCTCCTCCTCAGCGGGTAGCAGTATCATAGAGTAGGCCTTGCTTTCTCGCGTGTACCGAGGCCGAGTTCTGCGAGCAGAGTCAGGGCTGCTGGTGCCCCCCTCTGCCCCTCCAGACTCCTCACCACGGCCTGGACGGGCTGGTGGTCGAAGCAGGTCTCCAAGTGTGGTTTTTCTGCCACGAGCTGCTGCTCCAGGGCTGGTCTCTAGATCAGATCTTGGACCCCTTGTTGAACGAGGTTTCTTAAAGGCAAAGAGGGTACCCAGCTTCTTTCGAAGTGTACGGGAGACAGGAGTGGCACCACCCTCAGTGGCTGGATCCTCCTCTGGGGCCCAGCTGTAGGAACAACCACCAGTGAGTAAGGAAACTCAAGAATGTCCCACCCTCTTCCGCCTCCAGCAACTGACCCTCACTCACAGGCGTTCCTGCTGGATCAGCCTTTTGGAGAAGAATTCCTCCACACCTTCGTCCACACGAGCAGTGAGCCCATTCCCTTCTTGAAGCAGGGCTGGGGACACCTGGGAGACATCGGGAGGTTAGGAGTCAGGACCGAGAACTGGCTCTCTCCCCACCCCCACTTCTTCCCAGTGACCTGGCCTGAGTATATCCCAAAGCTAGGGTGCTGTCTGTACCGTGCTGGAGTTCTTTCCTCCCTGCTGCCACAGTACACCGGCCCAGTCCACACCCGTTCTTGTTACATAGAGGATGCTATACCCTGAACCACCTGGCTTTCACTAAGCAAACACCTACATTCCAATATGCCACCGTTTCTACTCCCCGCAGTACCCTAACCCTCCACCTCCACCTCACCCCACCCGGTCTAACATCCCGGCTCAGTGGCGCCGCTGCTGCGTCAGACCCTCAGGGGGCCTTAGGCCGGCTCCTCCTCTCCTTCTGCCAGTGCCCACTGCCCCTGCCAGTACCCAGCCCACACACATATATCCACCCGCTGGTGCACAGCTGATGCAGGAGTGTCCCGCGGGTCCGGCTGCCCAATATTTTTTCAGTAACCCCAGGAGAGGGAGGGCAAGACGGACATCCGCTCTCACACGTCCACGCATACAGCAAACCACTCCAAGGCGGGAGTCTACCATCTAGGCGCACCTTACAGGAAACCCGCACACCAGTGGCCTGTTATAGGCACGGCCTGAGGTTGAGGATGGCCAGGGAGATGATAGGGCACAATCGGGTGGACTTGGGCCTCCACAACCCATCTCCCTGCCTTCTATAGCAAGTGAGCAGCGAATGGACCACCCATGACCCTTAAGCGGGGCGAGGGGGGAAGGGAAGCACTTTACCTGGGGGCCCCCCGGCGGCGGGCGGTGGTGGTGCTGGCGACGTGGCCGCGGCCGGGCCCGGGTCGGATGGCGTAGGGGTTGCCC